AACAAGGTCTCCAAGGAAATGATTTATCCATTCCTTGACCACAATTCAGGACAACAAATCACTTTGTTACGAAACGGATTTAATTCGAGTCTATTTATTGATCATATTCTTTTTTGAAACAAAACAAAAAATTGGTATTTTTTGGAATTAAATTAACATCTCTAATCTGGACACATCGTTGCAAATATATTCATTAAATTAGGAGCAAACATATTTGGAGAAAACATTCAATATAATAATGCCTTTAAGAGGGATTTAAAGTCAACACTTTCCACTTAAGAAGATACTTCAAAAATTTGATAAAGATAAATGAAGGGAAATTGGTTTATTCCGCCAATATTTAGAAAACATTAGTTAAAGGAACCAATTTACTCCACATCTTACCATTTCTACCAGTGCTACATATGTAATATTTGATATCAAGCATGACATATGCACTGATTTTGTTTGAACCCCAAAATTCAGTATGGTATGATCGTAATGTTATGAATACTTTATACTAGCAAAAGCCCATCGGTTTGACATGCTATCGAATAGTAAAATAGTTTTTTTAACAGAGCAAATAAATTTGTTTAGAACTATCATTTTACTGACCAGTTTACACATCATGTTTAATGAGTTTAACATCGAGACACAATAAGATATAAGGTTTGAAAAAGGATCCAAAAAATCAAATTGGCTGATATGCAATATTTTGATCTCAAATTCATTTAACTCTACATGTATAATCAAGAATTAATAATTATAATCAAGCAATTGGCTCCAACTCTTCATCTTCGCCTATTTTTGACAGTGCAATAATTTTTTATTTGATCCATTTATACTAAGCTTATTTACATATATTAATATAAATAAATATTGTCTCATAAAAATAAATAAATCACTAGAGTTTATATTTTTAAATATAAAATGGCCCAAAAATAATACAACAAAATTATTGAAATGTGTAAAAAACGAAAAATAAAAAAAAGGTATAAACTTCGGGAAATTTTCTAGAGACACTGGTGACACTGGTGACACTAGTCGAGAACAGTTTCTTTCGCTCCCAAAGTTCCAATAAGTATAATAGAAGTGTCTCTAGTATTTTTTTTTTTATCTAGTGACAAATTTTTATAGGGTCGAGTGTTTGAAAATATAGTTTACTCGGCCTCTTTTACCTCAATTCCATCTTGAGCTAGCTTTTCAAGCTTTTTCCGGTAGTATTCTGCCATTCTTTGGTGTTTTTTAGCATGAGCATATGTGGTTCGAAATAAAAAAACTTATCATTATCATCGTCATCGTGCAGATCAAGAAACACCTTCAGGTACAAAAAAACCATCATTAAAACTTGTAATTAATGAAACGTTTGAAAATCAAGAAAAGGCCCTTCCAACCCCCCCCCCCCAAAAAAATAGAATGATCCAGAATTACAGATTCAAATGATCATTTTGTATGGGGGATCTACTAGATATGTGTACATCTAAACAAAGATTTACTCGTACTGAAGTTTATGAAGCAATCCAAATATTTCAATTCAACTATATCTTTACGAATTTTTTTTTCTAGCAAAGTGATAGGTGTAAAGATTCTTTACATGCACATGATTTTTTTCGAATGTACTAAAATTCTAAAAATAACACTTACACAGAAATCCATATAATGAGATACTAAGGATTAACCAACTTATTCAGATTGTTGAAAGTGAAAGGATAATTGTCAATATTTCCAGAATCGTTACAATATGAATATGAAATTTTGAAATGATTAAACATCGTACCAAGTGCCGCCACTTCATTCGGTGCCCAATCTCTGGCATCGATGACAACGTCATTTTTATGTCCATGCATCAATTTTGATGAATGGTGGTAAAGTCCACCGATGCATTTTCGAACATCTTCATAACGAAGACTATTAAGTTTACACATCCGCTTTAGTAATGACACAAATAATTGATCTTCTGTTAATTTATTTAAAGCTTTGTCTGCAGGCTCAGAAAACAAGATTGTATTGGTTTTCATCAAGAGCTATTGTCAGTACGTAAGTAAATACATTGTGGTTAAAATAACTGCAAAAACAGTTTATATTGACAAATATACAGATTGCTACCTGTGCTCGTATAAACTCCATTGCTCCCCTTATATCACATATTCTTCTTGAGCGTAAAAGTTCTTGCGTACGATCCCTAAGTGTGTTCTCAACTTTTCTCAATTCATCCATAATATCGAGTTTTTCTCCTTCTTTTTTTTCCATAATATCAAGTTTTTCTCTTTCTTTTTTTTCCATAATATCAAGTTTTTCTCTTTCTTTTTTTTCCATGATTTTGAGTTTTTCCTCTTTTGTTTTTTCCATGATATTGAATTTTTCCTCTTTTGTTTTTTCCATGATATTGAATTTTTCCTCTTTTGTTTTTTCCATGATATCGAGTTTTTCTCTTTCTTTTTTTTCCAATAATTTTATATTTTGTATGC